TTGGCCCACTACCTCACCCCTAGTGCCATCTGACTGGCACACTTCCCATCACTCACGCAAAGGATTTCAGTCTCAGCCACCGGAAGTGGGGCAGCTGGAACTCCTGGTCTCTGTTGGTGGGTGTGTCAAATGGTGCAACCACCTTGGAAAACAGTCTGACAGGTTCTTAAAAAGTTTAACACACACCTACCACGGGATCCAACCTTTTACTCCTAGGTCTTTACCCAAGAGGAATGAAAGGCTATAGTCATGTGGAGACTTTTACATAAATGCACTTAGCGTATGAGACATTCCACTCCCGGACATTCACTTACGAGGAAGGAGAGCAAGTGTTCCTACGAAGGTCGGGAAGGAGGCTCAGAGCCCCTTGAGCTGTAGCAGTATGGCTGCCATACTAGGCATTCATGAAAAGACATGAACCATTGGAACATGCAACAATGTGGATGAACCGCAAAACAATTACACTAAGTGGAAGAAACCAGACAGGAAAGAATGTGATGGACACACAGCCACACCCATCCCTTTACTTACTGTCCGTGTCGGCTTGTGCATTACAAAGGCAGAATGGAGCAGTAAGTAACTTTGGGTAGTGAGTGAGTAAGTCTGAGCCTCAGTTCCCCCATCCACAAAATGGGGCTAGATGTCTGCCACTTTGTACTGTGAGGCTTTGTTTGTGTCCTTCTTATGCAAATGTTGGAAACTGTGTCTTTACTGTTCAGTGAATCAGGTTTTCTCTTTTTTTCCTCCTCCAAAACAAAGCATGGTGGAGGTGAATTCATACCAGTGCTGTGTTTGAGGAAGCCTGGTGTGTGTGTATGATTCTTTTAAATGTGTTTATTTACATATGTAATATACTCAATACATCCACATATATTATATATGAATATAATATATAATACATGTAGATCTAACATATGTACATGTGTGTATGTATATACCATGCATGCCATGCTTAATACACATTTAATATATACACACTTCATATGATCCATTTTATATGTGTATATATAATATAATACATAATACATATGTATGAATATATATGATTCTTTTAAAATGGTATTTACAAGAACTTTGGTCCCTCTGAGATTTTCATTAATTCCACAAATATTTATTGAGCACCTACTATGTGTCAGGCACTGTTTTCAGTGTCCTGGATCCAGCTGTGAACAAGATTGTCCCCCACCCCCCATCATGGAGCTAACAGCCTACTCTCAGGAAATGAGTGAATGATTTAGCTATTTGTTTCGGCTTCGGATGCCGGAGTGAATGTAATCCCAGTCTGATTCACAACTGGCTTTCATCATTGTTTCATTTATCTGTAAGTGTAAAGGTTTGCTAATAGAATAAGTACCCCAAAACTCAACACCACTGGCATAAACAGAAATTTAGCAATAACCTACACCCCAAAATCCTTTTCCCTCATTCTGCTCTCTGGGCTTCTCTCCCCAAAGTTAACTATACTACTGAATCGGGAATTTATCCTTTCCTTGTTTGAAAACAATTGTATCTCAAATAGATTATTTCTCCCCCAAAAATGTTTTTTCACTTTAGTTACTATAACTTCATAAAAAGAGCATCATGCTGTGTGAAATGTTTGGGAGATTCTTGTTCCACTCAACGTTATGTTGCCAAATCCATCCATGCTGTTTGCTGTAGCTGAGAACACCACTGTGGCTGCTGATTAACAAACCCTTGAGTGAATTTCCCATAATGCATCTCCCCATTTCCTCAGCGATGGGCATTAGGATTGTTTCTGGGTTTTGGTCTTCTTCACAGTACAGTGATGAACATTCTGGGCCATGTTTCCTGGGGCAACAAGCAAGGGTCTCGTGACCATGTATCTGGGAGAGGAAAGGCTGTGTTATATAACACATGAATGTTCAGTGTGGTGATTAATGTTAGTCTGTTTCCCAAAGTGGTTACAATGTGGAGAAGCCTTGTGTATTTACAGTCCCTCCAACATCTGGAATGTTGGACATTTTAATTTGGTGCAATGGTATAGAGATAAGATGGGGCCTCGTTGTGTCCTTGTCATGCATCTGTTTGATCCTTAAAGACATCGGATATCTCTGCATGCACCTGTTGGCAGCCCGGGTTTCATTGTTCACAGTATGCCTGTTCCTGCTTTTTGCACATTTTCCTCTTGAGTAGTTGTCTTTTTCTTATTGGAATTTCATTCTTTTTAAAGGACTGCACCATTCCATCAAAAGGCTATACCATTATTCATAGCATGCATTTTCAACTGGGGCAAAAATTTGCTCTTGCAGAGTAAAAATAAGTACCCTTTTAATGTACAAAACACAGATAGACATACAGTATGTTAACTGTATGCAGTGTACTTGTGGTATTAAAATTTCATAAGGGGTGATTAGGAAAAAGGGTCTAAAACTGCTCTGGAGGGAGTGATATGAAAAAAGGCTGAGAGACACTGATTTATAGCAATTTTCACAAGTATATGGCAATGAAAATGTTTAAGGACATATATACCTTTTCCCAAGTTCAGGATAGACTCCTAGAAGTTGAACTATATGGTCTGAACTTGTCTCAGACCCCTGCCATACTTGCCAAACTGCTTTCCTAAATCATAAAGTTACCTCCAAGCAATTTATGAAAATGTCAGTTTCACCACATCTCGCCAGCACTTGGTGTTATTAATTTTTAAATCTTTACCCATTTTAATAACTGCCAGAGCCTGGTATGTTCTTATTTTTTTGTTATCATTTCTTTGGTCTCTGTAAAGCTGAACTTTTAAAATATGTTTGTTAATCAGTCTGTCTTTTGGGAATGTTCTAGATTGGAAGGACTGCAGGCCAACACATCTGGAGGAAAGGAGATCCTTACGATAGAGGGGCAGAAATTTAGCTGAGTTGTGTCCCATAGTTGTACGGAAAGCAGAACTTGTAAGTAAGTGATAAAGTTGGATATTTAGCAGAGGGGGATTTCCTGATTCTTTCTTGCTGCTCATAGTAAAACTCGGACGGGAAGAACTGTTAAGCAAATAGAAAGAGGGATTTGATGATTTGGGATCGCAAAAGAAGCTAAAATCAGGAGATCCACTGTCAAGAAAGTGTCTTCCAAACCATCATCACTTACCAGGTGAACTTGAGCAAGTGTCTAAACCTTTCTGAGCCTGTGTGTCCTCATTTGTGAAACGGGGGTGTGGGTAATGGCACCCACCTCATAGGGATGTGAGGAGTGAATGCGTTGGCTTGTGTAAAGTGCTTAACACTATGCCTGCAGGCCCAGCGGTAGCCTCCAGGGGAAAAGGATGGGTGGAGGGCTGCTTCCGTGCCCTCGCTTTAGTAAGCTTTGGACCCTAATCCCTGCCGGACTGCTGTTAATTTATCCCACCCCTCCCCTTGTCTCCCCCCAGGTGCCTAATTCCCTGAGGCGGGGGTGGGACAGAGGATTCCAGCTGGGGATTAACTGAGGCAGATTAGAGGTACACTGAGAGGATGGGGAGTCTCTATCCTTTTAACCCTTCCTTCGCCAGAGCCAGAGCTGGAGTACCTACACTGCTTTCTTTGACTTCAGACTCAAAGAGGGGAGGCTGCTTCCAGAACCTTTCCCACTCCCACGGGTAGAGGACCCTAAAGAAGGCCTGCTGGCTGACCTAAAGAAAATGAGTTTCCCTCTCTGGGCCTCACTTTTCTCTTCTGAAAAATGCCCAGAAGAATGTACAGATGAAACAGAAAACCTCGTGTCAGAGTGAATGCCCCTGGGTGGTTGAGATCGGCTACACGGAGTCCACACTTAGTGAGCATTTACTATGTTGGCAAGGCTGTGGTCACCCCATTGGTCTGTGATTTCCCCTTCCCAGGCAGGGGGCAGGGGCGGGCAGCATCGTACACAGAATCACAGAATCACCTATCAGAAGCCCTCAGTGTCAGCCATGGCTCCAGAAGGGTGGTCCAGGGCCTGATTTTCTTCTCTTGGGGTGCTACCTGCCCCCACCCTAAAACCTGGTGCCCTCCATAGGGGAGCTGTGAACCACTTCCCCAAAGGGGTCCCTAAATTCCTAGAGGGAACAGGGGTCGCAGGCAGGGAGAAACTCAGACAGAAATACTATATGGAATCTTCTCCATCCCACCAGGCCGGGGAAAACCCCCCTCCTATCTTTCCCCAGCTGCGCCAGACGCAGAGCGGGGAGGGGGGAAGGGGGCGGTGCCTACTCTGCGGCTGCCTGAGAAGGGAGGACTGCGGGAGAGCGCTGAGGTTGGGGTGGGGGGGCGCTGCGGCACCGCCTCCCAGCCCGCAGCCGCCCAAGCAACAGCGGTGGGGGCGCTGACCCTCCTCCGCCCGTACCCTCCCCCGCTGCGGGGACTTCGCCATTACTCCTGGCTGGGGAGGAGGCGCCCGAAACCCTCCTCCACCTATGGAGCGGCCGAGAGCGCTCCCCGCCCCCCGACCCGCCTGAAGCCCCTGCATGACCCTCAGGGGACCCCTGCCCCCCAGGTCTGTCGCGCCTCCTCGGAGTCTCTGTCTGTGTCCCCATCTGTCCCGTCTCCCCACTGTACGTGTTTGTGGCTATGTGTATCCAGTACACCTGCACTCACGGGCCAGAGTGCCTGGAGCGATGGCCTAGGAGAGGAGTCCTGGGGATCAGTTGTGGGTCAGTCCCAGGTCTGGAGTGTCTTTCCATGATTGTCAATCTCTGTTGTCGGGGTGACATCTTTCAGGCTGTGAGTCCAAGTCAGGCTCTGGGTGTCTAGGTGACACCCAGAAGGCTGTGAGCATGTGGGCCCCCATGTCTGTCTGGGTGACACTCGCAGGCTGTCAGTGTGAATCTGTGTTGGTGGCATCCTGCAAGAGGTGTGCATCCTAGACACCGTATAGGCTGTGCGCCTGGGTCCCCGTGTGTCTGGATGACACCCGCAGGCTGTGTCTGTAACACGCTGCGAGCACCTAGTGTGCCGGTCTGCGCGCGTCAGTGTGCGTGGTGACCGAGTCGGATCGAAGGAGGCCCGGGCCGCTAGTGTCCTCAGCCGTCTGCGTGTGTGTGTGTGTGTGTGTGTGTGCGCGCGTGTGTGAGCGCGCGCGCGCCTCGGAGAAGGTGGATCCGCTCAGTCCGCCGCGAGCCCGCCCCGGGCCCCACGACCCGCCGCTGCGGCCGCTCGTCCGGCCTCCACTGGCGCGGGCCGGGCCGGGGATGGAGCTACCGCAGCCTGGGCCCGGGAGTCCAGCGGCCTGAGGAGCGGGCGGTGCGCGGGGCTGGGGAAGGCGGGCCGAGGGGAGGGTCCTACGGACCCGGGGGGCGGGCGCGGCGCGCCCCCTCCCTGGCGCGCTCGCTCCCTCCCCCGAGCGCCCTCCCTCACCGCCTCCTCCCGCCGCCTCCGGCCCCCCCTCGCCGGGGACCGAGCGCGCTCGCTCCGGCGCCGGCCTCGCCTCCTCGCAGCAGCGCCATGGTACGTCGCCGCCCCCACTTTCGTTTTCGCCCGGGGAGTTTTTGGGGTGGTGCGTGGGCTCCAGGCGAAAGTTGCCAGGTCTGGGGGGGGCCGCCCCAAGGAAGGGTTCGATGCGGGGACACCCCCTTCCGCCCGCCGCTGCAGGACCCCCGCCCGCCGATGCCCCCCCTCGCGGCTGGGGGCGGAGCTGGCGCGCAGGGCGCAGCGGGGGATCCCAAGTGGGGGGCCCCTCGTGGGCGCCGCAGAATTGGCGGGGAGGGCGGGGCTCCCGGGAGAGGGTGCCCCTCAACCAGGCCGGGCCCCCGCCCCCTGTCCGGCACGGAGGGAGGAGGGAGGACGAGGCCCTAGGCGCACGACCCCGAAGCGCGCAGCCCACTGGGGAGCGAAGCCGGGGAGGGGTCGCCCTGTTAGGCCGGGGTCGCGGTGGCCCCCGGGGGTGCCCCGGCCCGGGAGAGCGCGGCGCGCCAGCTAGCGGAAAATGGCCGCTGCGGAGAGGGGCGGAGAGCGCGCCACGGTCGCCGCCGGGCGCCTTGAACTTGGAGTCCAGCGGGCGGCGGCGCTTGGCGCCACGCAAGGGCAGCCCGCACGGCCTGCCCTCTAGCCGTCTGAGCCCCGCCTACAGGCTGACCCCAGCCCGGCCGTGGCGCACGCCAGGTCTCAGCCGGGAGGGGTCACCAGGTCTCGGCCCCGAGCGCCCCAGGCCGACGAGCCTAGGTGCCTACACTTGAGGATTCCGGTGTCTAGTCTCCGGGTGTCGGTGGCATCCGCGCTCAAGGGGTGCATTTGGGGGTTCCAGAGCTTCCTAACGGTCAGCATGGGAATCCGGGGATGCGTTCTCGGGTCTGTGCAAATAGGTGGTCCCGTCCCTGTCCGTGGGTACGTGGGTTCCGATGTGTCGGGTCCTCTCCTTTATGTGTCTGCGCATCCACGTGGCCAGGTGTGTTGTGTTGCGTGTGTAAGAGCATTGTGAGTCTCTGGGACAGTGTGCGTGTGTCTTTGGGTAACTGGGCGACTGTGCTGTGTGTCCTTCTGTAATGGTGCTGTGAAGCTGTGTGACTGAGTTGTATGTCCCTCGGGGCCGTGATGTCCCTAGATGACCGTGTAGGGTGTTCCCGTGTGTGTGACGGTTAGGCGGTTGTGGGTGAGTGGGAAACGGTGTAGTGTGTCTGCGTCCCAGGGGACAGTTAGGTGTCTCTGTGTGCAGGTGACTGGCACTGAGTGACTATCGGGGATAGGTCTGCACTCTCCCCCTGGCCCCTCCAGTTCCTTTTTTCCTGCCACCGGGCATCTGGGTGGGGGCTGGTATTTCCTCTACCTTGCCAAAACCCTGTTCCCTCATCCCACCCCAACCCATCCCCCCACTGCCTCCCTGCCTCGAAGTCCCCATGGGCGTGGACCTAGATGGTCTTGGTTTGAGGTTTAGGCTCCAGGGGGCACTGGGACGCGATCACTGGGTGGCAGTGATGTCTCCTGCCAGGAACTTCGTGTGTTCGGGGACCTGCCCCAGAGTGGGGCAGGGTGGCAGGGGTCCCCACCTCTCTTCTGGCCAAGGTTTTGAGGGAGGGTTGGTTACTGAAGCGCAGGGGCTATCTGGGCCCAGGTGGGTGGCCAAGGAGACCCTCTCACCTTCCAGGCTGGGGGCCGCCCCCTTCAGTCCTGCCTCCCAGCACTTGTCGAGGACTGGGCCAGGGGTGGGAGGTCCAAAGTGTTATTTTCTACTCTCCAGAGGAATCCCTGCTGTACCCCCACCCCACCCCAGGGCCTTTATATAATTTTCCAAACATGAAAGCCCTAAGGCTAGGCCAAGTCTCTGCTTTTTACTTAAAACCTGCAACCCATTTTGGGAGGGCTGTTTGGGAAGGGGGAGGAAAAGGGGCTCCACACTGACACAGGGGTACATACACACAGCGCTCAGGGTCACATGCTCCCATCAGCCCCTTCACCCTCACTGAGGCCCTTCCCCACGCCAGCTGCCAGCACTCAGACGGAGCCCTGTCCCAGCACACTCCTGTGCAGTCACGTGTCTGTGGTCTGCCCCGCACCACACTCACCCCCATTCCCACTTTCTCCAGGTGTCCAGGGGTCCACAGTGTGTTCACAAGCATACACCCGTGACACACCCTCAAGAAGTGCTTGGTCACAGCCACACATGTACATAAATCCGTGCACACACACAGGTGCATACACAACCACATGGACCCACACTGACACAGACACCTACACTGGCAGGAGAGGGAGGACCCCAGGGTGGGGAGGTGGTGGAGACTGCCAGGAGGGAGGAATGGGGTGTGCTGTGCTGTGTGCCACTGTGTGCATGTATGTGCGTGTGTGTGAGTACTAGATTCTGTTGCGGGTATGTGTGCTGCTGATAAGCATGTGTTGTGTTTGGGCGTCATTGTGTGATTATGGGTGAGTGTACCTGTGTTGTGTTTGGGATTGTGTATGCACTTGTGTGGGTCTGTGTGTGTGTACTTGTGCTACATGTGTGTCTGTGTGTGTCACGTCAGATCTGTGTGTTGGTACCTGAGTTAGTGTGAGTGAAAGTCCGTCTGCATGGCATGGTTGTGTGTGCCTGTGTGTGCCTGAGACCTGTGAGTCGTGTGTCACTGTGTATCTGTGCCCTCCCTAGTGTCATATCCCACCTTTACTTCCCACCGCTGAGGACCTGAACATCCCCTGCTGGAGCCTCAGTTCCTCATCCCCAAAATGGAAACGCACAGGACCCTCCCTGGAGTGCGGGGCTGGGGGGTGGTCTCCAGGGTCAGGACCCAGCATTTGTGTGGCCTGGTTCTCTGGGTGTGGCCGCTGTGGTGTTGCCATTGGGGCTCCTATTCCTTGGGCTCCTGTCGTCCCTGCCTGTGCTACTCTGTGAATGCCTCTCGCCTTTTCAGAGTTTACTTTTTAATTACACAAACCATTCATGAACATCTAAGGAGAGTACACAAGTGAAAATGGCACCTTCCTCATCACCCCCACCAAGGTGGGACTCCAGCCCAGGGGGTCCTGTTGTCATCCAGCTTTGTCTTAGCAACTGCAGGTGGGATAGATACACATTCTTGCAAAGGACACGTGTATATTCTTATAAAGGGTAGTTTTTATCTCATAGAGGATACATGAGTGTTCCTTTTTTCTTAATCTCAAATGAGATCTTGAGTCTTCTGGCTGAGTCTGCAGCAGAGGTTCTCAACCAGGGGTGGTCCTGCCCCCAGGGGACACTGGGGCAATGTCTGGGGACATTTGTGATTGTCACGACCAGCGGTGTTCCTGGCATGCAGTGGCAGGAGGAATCTGGTCCATACCTCGCTTTCCCCAGCATGTCTCTTGGAGATGGCTCCATTGGGAGCCCCTCGTTCTTTTATGGAGCTGAGTAGTATTCCAGCCCATGCCCATACCCGTGATGTTGAACCCCCCCACACAGATAGACACCTGGCAGTTGGCATTAATGCTGCAGAGTTGACACTACCGTGCATCTGTAGTGCACCTACCGTGTGTCTGGGACAGTTACAGAGAAGCCTAAGAGCAAATTCTAGGGAGAATGCATTTTTAATTTTTAACAAATGAGCTCAACTGTGCTCCAAAATGCCAGGAGCTAAGTCATGCACCCCTTTTCTGGGCCCTTCCACACACAGGTCCAAATCCACCAGCTGCTGTGTTGAGAGACCACTATGCACAGGCGCCATCTGACCCCTGTCCACGCTCGCTGATCTGCCCACGTCCGGGGGGAGGCACTACCCTTGATCGCCCCACTCCACACGGGTGTGGGGGAAGCTGGGACACAGAGCGGTTAAGCTGCTGGCTGGAGGAGTTGCAGATTCAGGTGCAACCCTGCAGCCCAACAGGCCTGCTGTGGTCCTACTACGTGCACTACAGAGGCCTCTCCTGCTTGAACTGTGGGGTGGGCAAAAGGAGGTTTGCAGTTGTGAGTACATGAAACACAGTTTATTCTTGTACTATTTATTAATTAGTGCATTATAGCTGTAAGCCTACTTTTGCCCACTCTTGTGTGTGTGCATACATATATGTGTGCATACCGTTGCTGTTAGTGAACTTGTGGAAGGTTCTACCATCCACTGCAACTAATAACATTAACACAGTCCTCACACACATTACCTCAAGAACTCCAATCTCCCCAACCTTCCAAGACAAGTCCTAACGTTGCCATTTCACATATGTGGAAACTGAGTTCCAAGAGGTGGAGTCTGTGCTCTCCAAACTTGACCTTGGAAAGGAACCTCAACTGCTACGGGAAGGTTGCAGGCAGGGCAGGGATGGGGGGCAGTCTGAGGAGAACGCTCAGAAATTCACTTTAACATGTAAATGTCTGAACTGGGGATCCCGCCATCTGTGTTCCTGGCATTTTCTTCAGTGATCAAGTACTGCTTTATGTTGCATTGGTGTTTGGGTTCCTAGACCCCTGCCTCCCCCTTTCATCCCGGGGTTTGAAGTGCCCACCACAGCTGCACAGTGGGGAGTTTCGAAAACATCTTTGAAGTGCTCAGGATGTGCTCAGTGCCGTCTGAATAACTGTCAGACACACGCAGCGAGGAGCACACCCACCCGGGCCGGGAACGCGTGCTGCCGCAGGCGGATCCTGCTCCCTCCCCGTCCAGCAAGGGGCCCTGAACAAGTGGCCTCGCTCCCTGGCCTCAGTTTCCTCCCCTGTAACACAGGGAAATACCAGGGCTGCCGGCATGTCGCTCGCACCCTGGGCCTGGGGCAGCTGCCCTGAGTTCGTCACAGGGTGTCATCAGCCTCAGGATATTCAGAGAGATTAGTCAAAATGGCCAAGCTTTCTAACAACGTGTTGGGGCACACATGATAGGAAGTCAAAGCTCCGCTAAATAACATTGTCCTTATGCTAGCAGACCCTATAGGGCGGGCACTGCGAGGCCACCTTACAGAGCGGAACACCACGGGATGGAGGCAAGGGGCCACGTCCCCTTAGTCTGTGAGGTGGGAAGGAGAACTTAGGCAGCCTCTGAGCCAGGCTGGGAGGACTG